TATATGATACACAAAGTGTACCAGACTTGTAGCTACAGAATTGTACCCTAACTCTAACACTAACACCTAACCTTAACCCTAACCTTAATCACTAACCCTAACCGCTAACTCTAAACATTACCTCATATAAAAATATAAACATAATACTAAACGAACCTAAAATACATTGGGTACATATCTGTAGTACCTGATACGACACGACCACCATCTGCATAACTGAAGCTGGGATATCAGTCGTGTTCCTCTCTCACGTCCGCGTCATCCTGTTCTCTCTCAAGCCCACAGGCACTGGGAACGTTTCAATTGAAAAAGATATGGAATATAAACACGAAATGTATTTACTAACAAAGTTTTAGTGTTTTCTCTACTCTCTCTTTCGCCTATTATTGCTGATAACTTCATGTAATGCCGTACAAATACTCCTCTGAAACACACAAGTACATCACACGCACGCACGCACGCACGCACGCACGCACGCACGCACACACGTACGTATATGTATGCACGCACGCACGCACGCACGTACACACGCACACACGCACACACGTACGTACGCACGTACGAATGCACGCACGCACGCACGCACGCACACACGAGCGCTGCTTCCCCCATGATGCTGTCGCCATGGAATCTAGATGAATCTCCCCTCAGCGAGGTATTTTGTTTTTGCCGGATTCGAATTGCGATTTCGATCGCAAACCGGCGAGTGAACCGGATACGGATTTTGCGCGGCCCCGTAGCGAAGCGCGCGCCGACGCGTATAGCTCGTAAACGCTGCGCTAGATCGGAGACGCCGATAGACGGGTGTGTAGATGAAACGTGCGGAGTCTGAACGTGGACGGCGGGATGCTTATCAGGCTATCAGCGATAACGACCGCTCGTCAAACCACCGACAGACGAACAAGCAGTCAGTCGGCTCGCTGCGACGGGTGCGCCCCGGTGCGGCCGGTCGGCGCATTAACTGCCAGAAGGCTCGCGGTTGATACGCTGTCAAGCGGACCGTTCGTGGTCGGCAGCGAGGAATCTCAGGAATTCGCGCGCCCAGCCCTGTAATTCCTCCCCGTTAACGTTCGCGGGAAAAATCTAAGCGTTCCCTTTCACAATTTCCTTCTCCTCGCGTATACAAGCACGGCGTTACGGCTCCGAAATCAACCGCAACGCCATTGCCGCGCGTTTGGTGCTTATATAGACACCAGCGGCTTCTCACCATGTGTGTAATTAACCCGTTCAAATCGCATTCTTGTCTATGTGCGCGACGGTGACAGACGGTTATACGCTCATAGGGTCTATGTCCCCTAGGGTACTGCCGGAACGTACCCTGGGTACGGTCCGGTATACCGGAACGTACCTTGGTAACTATCAAGGCAGATAAAGAGGACGCCTTCTTTATCTGGCTTGTAACTATCTAGCTGATATGGTTAGAGGTTAGGGTTAGGGTGGGTAGGTTAGGGTTATGGTTAGGGTTAGAGTTAAGGTTAGAGTTAGGGTTAGGGAGTAGGCGTAGGCGACTCCTAGACCTCGTTAGTGGAGTAGGCGAGTACGGTCCGGCATATTCGATAGTAGTATTTAGTACCAGGGTACGTTCCGGTGTAGCCCTGGTATTTCGTCGTTAGGTTATCTCATCGGTCGATGATCGTTGACAATGATGGTCGAAGAGGTTGTGTATATTATATAAGATATAGACGTCTTTATTGGAATACATATGTGCTGGCAGCTTACAATGCGGTAGGTCGGGTAGCCAGTGCCCCACCCGACTCTCCCCCCCGAAACTCTTCCCTCTTCCTTAATATATCTATTTCCTTATCCCATTACGGCACTGCTCGTTATAACCAATGAGCAGCTCGCGTGCCGTATTGATTCCCTCAAGAGTAGATAATATAACAGCTTGTTTTTATCTATTCTTGATTCCCTATAATTCCGCTGGCCGGGTGACACATGTTCGGACAGGTGACTATGAGTCATCAGCAGCTGTTGCCACTCCTGTACTGCGTTGCATCATCTCTGCTATAACGCAGTAACAATTCTCGTCTCCACACCGGTATACCGGACCGTACCCAAGGTATACGTTCCGGCAGTACCCTGGGGGACATAGGCCCTATCAGCGACAGTTACGGTGGGAGAAGGAAAGGGGTCTACGCTAGCTGTACATGTATACGCACGTGGGGGAGCTAAACACCAGCGGGACTCAGGCTCTACCATCCCGCGTAAACACGCTCGCTATTGTTTATTATCGCTGCACTATTTATGTTGTTTATGCGAGAATATTTATAGCGTGTATGCTCTCACTGTGTGTGCGTGTGTGGGGGAGGGGAAGGGGGGTAGTTGCGTAGTTTCCGTTGGGGACCACCGCTGAGAGAGACGCAGCGAATTGACACTGTTTATATTGGCTGATTTTTGGCGAAGTGCGGTGAGTAACGCAGCCTGCAAACATCGACGCCGTGGGAAAACAACTCAGCGTCTGGGTGGTTTTACATTGTTTTCACAGGAAAGCTTTGCTAAATCCATATTGACGGAGTTCATTAACCCTTCATCGTCATCACCGTCAGCATCATCATCATCATCGTCATCACCGTCAGCATCATCATCGTCATCGTCATCATCGTCATCATCATCATCATCATCTCATCTCATCACATCGTCATGCACGTCAGCATCATCATCGATCATCGTCAACATCGTCATCATCATCATCATCATCATCATCGTCGTCGTCGTCATCATTATCATCATCATCCATCATCATCATCATCATCATCATCATCATCATCATCATCATCATCATCATCATCATCTTCCTCTTCCTCTTCCTCCTCCTCCTCCTCCTCCTCCTCCTCCTCCTCCTCCTCCTCCTCCTCCTCCTCCTCCTACCTCCTCCTCTCCTCCTCCTCCTCCTCCTCCTCCACCTCCCCATCCTCCTCCTCCTCTTCTTCTTCCTCCTCCTACTCCACCTCCTCCTCATCCTCCTCTTCCTCTTCCTCCTCATTCTCGTCGTCGTCGTCACTGTCATTAACGTTTTTAAGTCTATAGTTATTATTATGTAATGTAGTAAAAACAAAAGCTAATAAATACCTATACCTATTACCTATTACCGAATACCTAATACCTATACTATTTAGGGTATTATTAGCTCTTGGTAAACACTATAATAACTAGAGCTGTATCATCGTTGCAGTTCCACGCAGCGCCATCCCAGAAGTCTCCATGCTGTGATTATAGTCGTCCGCGATATGATATTTACTCTTAGGCTAACTGGTAGGATGCTACCTAAACAACCACGCTTGAAATGAGAACATAAGTCCATAAAATGTAACTTTGACTATTCCCTAACGTCGTTAACTCCATCTTCAAAAGCTTCTGAAACGATAAAATCCCGCTCAGACCCGAACGATCGTAATCGCACAGCGTAAAGCCGTAACAGCTCTGCCGTGACCCCAGCGTACGTGTACGCGCCGTACAGTCAGCCACACCCGCTACAAAGCGACCGCGCATGCACGTGTGTGCGTATATACACGTCCATCCCTCGGGGCTTAAACACGGATCCTTCGTTTTGAAGCTACTCGTACATATGTGTACGTTCGTGTCCATCCTCCAGGCTTACATAGAAGCCCTTCTTTTTGAGGCTGGTCGTTAGCACATCAAACCGTTGACTGCGCCCGGCCGCATCATTCCGCAGCATCCCCTGGCCTCCTGCAGTCTCCCTCGGTCACTCGCAGCCGTTTTCAGCTTCTTCCACGCCTCCCACAACCTCCCCCAGCCTTCCCCAGTCCCTCACAGCCTTTTTCAGCTTTTCCTCAGCCTCCCGTAGCCTTTATCGGCCTTTCTCAGCTTTCTCCAGCCTTCCCCAGTCCCTCACAGCCTTTCTCAGCTTTCCCTCAGCCTCCCGCAGCCTTCATCGGCCTTTCTCAGCTTCCCCAAGTCTGCCTTAGCCACCCACAGCCTCTCACGTCCTCCCGTAGCTGCATCCTCATACAGCCGCATCATCTCAGACCTCCCCTCAGCCGCATCCTGCCGCCGTCATTTGTTATTAGGCGCGAAGCCATCGCCGTGCATGCCCCTCCTTTTCTCCCTTCCTTCCCACGCCCTCCTTCCTTCCTTGTCCCTTTCTCCCGTCTCTCCCTTTCTCCCTTCCTTCCCCCGCCCTCCTCCCTTCCTTCTGTTTCTCCCTTTCTCACTTCCTTCCCCCGCCCTCTTCCCTTCCTCCTCCCTTCCTCCCGTTTCTCCCTTTCTCACTTCCTTCCCCCGCCCTCCTCCCTTCCTCCTCCCTCCCTCCCGTCCCTCCCTTTCTCCCGTCTTCCAAGAAGAAGCTCGTTTGTGAGAGCCGAGGCGGCTTCTCTCTCGCGCGCACCTCGGCATCTGCACTGCACATGTCCGCGCGCGGTGTTTTACGAACTAATTGCATGATCCGGTTTTTTTCTAGCTTCTCTCCTCGTAAAGATGTAAGAGATACAGCCCCGCGGTCGTCGGCGCTGCATGGTAGCGAGATCGCTTTCTTCCTACAGCATTCGCGTATATAGTGGTGTGCAATACGAACACGCATAGCTATACAACCCCGAGCGTTAATTAGAGAGAAAGTTAATCGGTCTTTGCCACGCTCGTAGATTGTTTACCTATAGGCTACGGCTTACCATTCGCAGATGCCATGTATCATGATCAGTATTTAGATTTTTAATAAGATATTGATAATGATAGATTATTGATGACCGACCGCTAGTTCTAGCGTCGATGTTCAAGGTTATACACAAAAACACACAAACTTACCGAGATCTCTGATTGCACGTACGTGAATCATGTTTACGAGAGTGCGTCGCGAATATGACTCGAGCATAGGTGGCAAGGACGTCACGGTATAAATCCTCAAGATGCTTATATGTGCGTGCCGTAAAAATACGTTCCCCGCGCGTGAAAAAGTGCCCACAGCGTTTACATTTTACGACCAACGTTCATTACTGTTTTGTTACCTTTTCGATAGCGTTTGCGATCGTGGCTGTTTTTCGTTGCAGTGTGTATGTACTTTACCGCGACCCGGGTTGCCGTCAGATTGCTGCTGGATATATGACGCAAAGAGAGCGAAATACAGACAGGCTGACGCACAGATAGCTCAGCAGAAATACAAGCGGAGAAAGTGAAAGCAAGCTACCCAAAGAGATTCAAAGAAAAAAGAAGGCGAGAGCGCGCGCGATCGAGTAGAAATAAAGTAAGATTGTTAGTGAAGCAGAACACCACATCATCGGTACCGAGGAGAAGAACAGAAATTCGTGATGGATGGGAACCGCTACACTCTCGTCTTTGCCATCATCAGTGTTCTCGCCGTGAATAAAGGCATCGGTAAGCTACTAATTATAAAGTAATATAATAATAATAAAGTTTTAGTGTTTCTTCTCACTCTCTCTTTTCGCATATTATTGCTGAATATCTTCATGTAAATGCCGTACAAATACTCCTCTGGAAACACACAAGTATCATCAACCGCACGCGACGCACCGTAGCGCACTGCAGTCCCACGCAGCACACGCACGCTACGATCACTGCATGCACGGCGATTCTTCGGGAGCTTGAGGCACGCCGGCAGCGCACGTACACCTAAGGCACAGTTCGCACAGCGACGCAGAACACACACGTACGTACGCACGTACGAATGCACGCACGCACGCACGCACGCGCACACACGAGCGCCTTGCGCTCTCCCAAGATGCTGTCGCCATGGAATCTAGATGAATCCCCCCCCCCTCAGCGAGGTATTTTGTTTTTTGCCGGATTCGAATTGCGATTTCGATCGCAAACGTCGGCGCAGTGAAACCGGATACGGATTTTGCGCGGTCCCGTAGCGAAGCGCGCGGCCGACGCGTATAGGCTCGTAAAGGCTCCGCTGATCGCAGACGCCGATAAGCGGGTTGTGTAGAGATGAAAACGTGCGGAGTCTGAACGTGGACGGCGGGATGCTTATCAGCGCTATCAGCGATAAACGACCGTCGTCAAACCACCGACAGACGAACAACGCAGTCGGTCGGCTCGCTGCGACGGGGTGCGCCCCGGTGCGGCCGGTCCGGCGCAATTAACTGCCAGAAGGCTCGCGGTTGATACGCTGTCAAGGCGAGCCGTTCGTGGTCGGCAGCGAGGAATCTCAGGAATTCGCGCGCGACCAGGCCCTGTAATTCTCCCCGTTAATGGTTCGCGGGAAAAATCTAAGCGTTCCCTTTCACAATTTCCTTCTCCTCGCGTATACAAGCACGGCGTTACGGCTCTGAAATCAACCTGCAAACGCCATTGCCGAGCGTATGGTGCTTATTATGACACCAGCGGCTTTCTCAGCACTGTGTGTAATTAACTCGTTCAATCGCATTCTTGTCTATGTGCGCGACGGTGACAGACGGTTATACGCTCATAGGGTCTATGTCCCCCCAGGGTACTGCCGGAACGTACCCTGGGTACGGTCCGGTATACGGAACGTACCTTGGTAACTATCAAGAGCAGATACAAGAGGACGCCTTCTTTATTGCTCTTGTAACTATCAGCTGATATGGTTAGGGTTAGGGTTAGGGTTAGGGTAGGGTTAGGGTTACTGGGTTTAGGGTTAGAGTTAAGGTTAGAGTTAGGGTTTAGGGAGTAGGCGTATGCCGACTCCTAGACCTCGTTAGTGGAGTAGACGAGTTACGGTCCGGCATATTGATAGTAGTATTTAGTACGGCGAGGGTACGTTCCGGTGTAGCCCTGGTATTTCGTCGTTAGGTTATCTCATCGGTCCGATGATCGTTGACAATGTGGTCGAAGAGGTTGTGTATATTATATAAGATATAGACGTTCTTTTATTGGAATACATATGTGCTGGCAGCTTACATGGGCGTAGGTCGGGTAGCCAGTGCCCCAGCCCGACTCTCCCCCCCGAAACTTCTCTTCCCATCTTCTTATATATCTATTTCCTTATCCTATACGGCACTGCTCGTTATAACCAATGAGCAGCTCGCGTGGCCGTAATTGATTCCCGTCAAGAGTAGATAATACTAACATCTTGTTTTTATCTATTCTTGATTCCCTATAATTCCGCTGGCGCGGGTGACATCATGTTCGGACAGGTGACTAATGAGTAATCAGCAGCTGTTGCCACTCCTGTACTGCGTTGCATTCATCTCTGCTATTGACCAGTAACAATTCCCGTCTCACCACCGGTTATACGGACCGTACCAAGGTACGTTCGCGGCAGTACCCTGGAGGACATAGGCCCTATCAGCGACAGTTACGGTGGGAGAAGGAAAGGGTCTACGCTAGCTGTACATGTATACGCACGTGGGGAAGCTAAACACCAGCGGATCTCAGTCTCTACCATCCGCGTAAACAGCCTCGCTTTGTTTTATTATCGCTGCACATTTATGTTGTTTATGCGAGAATATTTATAGCGTGTATGCTCTCACTGGTGTGTGTGTGTTGGGAGGGGAAGGGGAGGTAGTTGGCGTAAGTTTCCGGTTGGGGACCACCGCGCGAGAGAGACGCAGCGAATCTGACACTGTTTATTGGCTGATTTTTTTGGCGCAGTGCGGTGACGTAGCGAGCCCTGCAAACATTGACGCCGTGGGCAAAACAACTCAGCGTCGCGGGCTGGTTTTTAGCATTGTTTTCCACAGAAAGCTTTGCTAAATCCCATAGTTGACCGGAGTTGCATTACCCTTCATCGTCATCACCAGTAGCATATCATCATCATCGTCATCAAACCGGTCAGCATCATGCATCGATCATGTCATCATGTCATCGTCATGCATCAATCATCATGCATCATCATCCCATCGTCATGCACGTCAGCAACTGTCATCAATCGTCATCGTATCATGCATCATCATCATCACATCATCACATCGTCGGTCGGTCGTCATGCATTATCATCATCATCCATGATCATCCATCATCATTCATCATCATGCATCATATCATCATCATCATCGCATCATCATCTTCCTCTTCTGCCTCCTCCTCCTCCTCCTCCTCCTCCTCCCTCCTCCCTTCTCCGCTCCTCCTTCCCCTAGCCCTCCCCCCCCGGCCCCTTTGTGTTTTTTTTTTTTTTTTTCCCGGGGCCGCGGCGCCCCGCGCGCGCGCCGCCCCCGGCCCGCCCGCGCGCCGCGCCGCGCCCGCGGCCCCCCGGCCCCCCCCCCCGGCCGGCGCGCGCCGGCCCCCGCGCCGCCCCGCCCCGCCCGCCGCCGCCCCCGCCCTTTTTGTTTTTATTTTTTTTTGGCCCGCCGCCCGCCGGGCCCGCCCCAACCCAGAGCACCCCGCCCGCGCCTGCTGATCACGGACATGAACTACTCGCGCGCGGCCCCCGCCCCCCCACCGGCCACTCCCGGCCCCGGCCCCCCGCGAAGGACGCCCCAAGCGCCCCAGCGTCGTCTTGCCCCGGCCCCGCCCCGGCCGCCCCGCCGCCGGCGGCCCTCCGGGCCTTTTTTTTTTTTTTTTGTCTCCGCCCGCGCCCCCGCCCCCGCCGCCCCCCGCCCCCCGCGCCCGCCGCCCCCGGCGCGCCCGTTGTTGTCCCCCCGCCGATTGCCGCGCCCCCCGCGCCCCCCGCCGCCCCGCGCCCCCGCCGCCCGCGCCGCGCGCCGCCCGCCCGCCGCCCCCCCCGCCCCCCGCCCCCCGCCCCGCTGCCCCCGGCCCGCCCGCCGCCGGGTCAACCGCTGCCATTCGCTCCGGCCCCCCCCGGCCGCTCGCCCGCCCCGCTCCCCGCGCCCCGACCCGAGCCGCCGGCGCTTCTGCCTCCTGCCTCCTCCGTCCTGCTCCCTCCTTTCCGCTGCCTCCTCGCTCCTCTTCCGTCTTCCTCTTGGCTCTTGCCGCACGTACACACACAGCTCCGAGGAAACTGCCAATGACGATGACAATACAAATATGGAAACATGGTAGCGTCAGCATACATCACCACGTGGTCAGTGTTAGGCTCGGGGTTAGAGCTAGGTTTTAGCCGTGGCCCTAACCCTCGCTATAGCCGCAACCCGTAGCTTATAGTATGGCCACAGGAGAGAACACTGATTATGAGGCGTAACCGCATAAACCAGATCCGCATATTCTCCCAGTGAGTGGGCGACGGCGAATTCCACTGCCACGCGCTGGTGCTGTGAGTCGCCTCGCCCCACGTAGCTTCACACTCCCCCTCCTCCTCCTCCTTTTTCTCCGTGCCACCTCTTATGAATCACTGCTCTTCCTCAGCCTCCTCCTCCTCCTCCTTCCCCTTCCCTCCTCCTCCCCCTCCCTCTTCTCCGCTGTCTGCTTCCCTGAGCCAGGAGGTACGCTTCCCGTAGGCCCACCGTATCCATGCCGGGATGCGATTGTATGCAAATTGTTTTTACTGGCATGCTTCTCGAATAATGTTGCCTAGCATCGGTTTACTGCGGTCGTATATGTAGAGCAACTTGTCCGCAGCAGTTTTCCGGGAGAAAGTCAAGAGGGAGGGGGAGAAGGGTAGGGAAAAGGAAGGGGGAATAAGAAAGGGAAATTGGAGGTGGTCTCTGTTGGCACTCTCGTGCTTCGCCAAACTGTACGCATTGGCGAAAACAAACACAGATTATATCTGTGGACAGTCGGTATCAAAGTCCTCGTTATGTGAGGAGTAGCGCTCATAACTGAAGCTCAAGGGGTCGTTGTCGTATCACGTACTACAGATATGTACCCGAGGTACATATATGTATACACAAAGTGTACCAGACTTGTACTACAGAATTGTACCCTAACTCTAACACTAACCCTAACCTTAACCCTAACCTTAATCCTAACCCTAACCCTAACTCTAAACATACCTCATATAAAAATATAAACATAATACTAAACAACCTAAAACTACATTGGGTACATATCTGTAGTACCTGATACGACAACGACCCCATCTGCATAACTGAAGCTGGGATATCAGTCGTGTTCCTCTCTCACGTCCGCGTCATCCCTGTTCTCTCTCAAGCCCACAGGCACTGGGAACGTTTCAATGAAAAGATATGAAATATAAACACGAAATGTATTTACTAACAAAGTTTTAGTGCGTCGTTTCATTTCTCACTTCCTTCCCCGCCCTCCACCTCTTCCTCTCTCCCGTCTTCCGTTCTCCTTCTTCATTCTCTTCCCCTGGCTCGGTCCGTCGGTCGGGGTCTCCTTGGCCTGCCTTTCGCTTGTTCGGCGGTGTGGCCGTCTTGCTTCCTGTTCTCACTTGTCTCTCCTTGCCCTTCGCTTTCCTTCCTCCGTGCGGTTCCTTCCGGGTTGTTTTGGGGGGCGCGTTTTTGGTCTGGGCTCGTGTCCTTTCGGTGTGCTACCTGGTGTCGGCGGGTGGTGGGGTTGCTGGGTTGTGCGGGGTGAGGTGTTGGTTTCTTCGTGCTCCCCTCCCTCCCTTTCTCTTCCCTTCCTGACCCGTCATCTCGCCAATTTCTCATTTCCTTCATACGCCGCTCGCCCCTCCTCCTCCTTCCTTTCCTGTTCTCGCTTTCCACTTACTCCTTCCCCCGCCTCTACTCGCTTCCTCCCTTCCCTCCCTTTCTCCTTCTTTCCACAAGAAATAATCTCTTTTTTTAGAGCCGGAGCGGCTTCTACTCTCTCGCGCGCACCCGGGTCTCGGCATCTGCACCGTCACATGTCCGCCGGCGCGTGTTTACGAATACTAATTGCAGTGATATCGGTTCTTTTTTCTAGCTCTCTCCCTGCGTAAAGATGTAAAGATACAGACCCGCGCGGTCCGTCGGCGCTGCATGTAGCGAGATCGTCTAGCTTGCTCTTCGCTACAGGCATTCGGTATATAGTGGTGTGCTAATAGAACACGCATAGCTATACAACGCCCGAGCGTTAATTTACGAGAGAAGTTATAGTCGGGTCTTTGCAGCTCGTAGATTGTTTACCTCAGAGGCTCGGCTTACCATTCGCAGTGATAAGCAATGTACATGATCAGTATTTAGATTTTTAATAAGATATTTGATATTGATGGATTAATTTGATGACTCGACCGCTAAATATCTAAGCGTCAATGTTCAAGCTATTACACAAAAAGCACACAAACTTACCGAGATCTCTGAATTGCATGCGGTAAGCGTGAATCATGTTAGCGAGAGTGCGCTCGCGAATATGACTTCGAGGCATAGGTGGCAAGGACGTCACGTATACAATCCTTAGATGCTTATGATGTTGCGTGCGCGTAAAAATACGTTCGCCCGCGCGTGAAAAAGTGGCCCACAGCGTTAAGCATTTTACGACCAACGTTCAATATGTTTTGTTACCTTTATTCGATAGCGTTTGCGATCGTGCTGTTTTTCCGTTTGCAGTGTGTATGTACTTACCGCGACCGGGTTGCCATCCGATTGCTGCTGGATATATGAGGCACATAAGAGAGCGAAATACAGACAGGCGTTGAGCAGCAGATAGCTCAGCAGAATACAAGGCGGAGAAACGTGAAAGCAGCACCCAAATGAGATTCAAAAGAAAAAAGAAGGCGAGACTGCGCGCCCGATCGAGTTAGAAATAAAGTAAGATTGTTAAGATGAAGTAGAACAGCACATCATCTGAGTACCGAGGAGAAGAACAGAATTCGTGAATGGTCATGGGAAGCGCATACACTCTCGAGTCTTTGCCATCATCAGTGTTCTCTGCCGTGAATAAAGGTCATCGGGTAAGCACTGAATGTATAACGTAATATAAGTAATAAGTGAAAGTATATAAAAGTAATGAAGTAAAAATAAAAATTTCTAGTGTAATATATAAGTATAAAGAATATAAGTAATGAAAATAATAAGAGTATTGATAAGCCCTAGACCGGG